ATGATAATTAAGTAAATATATATTGTAACATCCTGTGTTTTTTATAACAATATTATTAAAGTATTATTTTCTATGGTCATAATTATTATTCTTATTTTTATACAAGGAAAATTAATTATTATATTTATTTATATAATTTAATGGGAGAAGGAAAAACGGACCGCATATGCTAATCTTTTGATATTATGGAAGAATTTTATGAGAGAGGGTTAGACAGAATATGCTAATCTTTTGATATTATGGAAGAATTGAAAGGGAGGAGAAGAAAAGAGTTTTGAGAACAAGTACTCAAATCATTATAAAACTGCATCAATTATTTCATATTGACATAATAAGGTACAGGAAGGGAAATTAGTGTGACTCATGTATAGGATTATAAAAGAGAATGGATAGTGAGAGAAATCCCTAAATTCTTGATGTTCTTTTATTTCTTTTTTGAAACTGAATTTGACAATCCAATTAGATTCTAAAATGAACTGCGAAGTTGTTTATTGTATTATTTAGTGAAATTAATGTTCTTGATAGATAATTGAATTCTATTAAGATTATTGAGATATTATCATTATAGATATTTATTATTTTATCCATTAGTCATTATATTTAGGAGATATCACATCTATTTTAGGAGACTATCATATATTTTATATTAGGAGAGTAAAAGTTATCGGATATTATCATTATGGTTATTTATTATTTTTTCCGTTAGTCATTATATTTAGGAGATATCATATTTTCTATATTAAGAGAGTATCATATCTCAATATTTATAACCGTACGTGACTTGTGATATGTATTTATATTGCTGGTTTGATGAATGAAAGACAACAATTTTCTTGCGATAAATCTTATTCGGGTATAATGTGTGGGTACTTTACAACAAAATGCGAGAGTTGAAAGAAAATATCAACATATTATGAATGTGGCACAGGCACTCAGATTTCAGGATCATTTATCAATGCAATTTTGGAGTGAATGTATGTTAGTGGCATGTTATTTAATTAATCGCATATCGTCCAATGTGCTTTATTATGACACCTTAAAAAAATTATTTGGTAATGCCTCTAAATTTGATAACATGAAAGTTTTTGGTTACTTATGTTATGCGCATCATCAACGTCGTGACGGGGATAAATTTTCTAGTAAAAGTCAAAAGTGTATATTTGTGGGGTACCCCTATGGGAAAAGGGGATGAAAATTGTATGATTTGGAATCTCATGAATACTTTGTCTCTAGAGATGTGAAATTTCATGAATATGAATTTCCATTTTTTGTGTCACCAGACAACATTCTTTCTACTCCTCACATTAATTATGATATTGAGTATGTTGCAAATGATACTAGATGGGACTTGAATGCATCACTTAGAAAGAGGGGTGCATCCATGGCCTTGCAAGGAAAAGACCATCCACAACTCTAAGGAGGGTTGCATGGAGGCTGTAATGGAGCTACTTTGATAGCTGATGAGGGAGTCAGTGTGAGTGGTGTGGATGGTGAGGTAGTGTCCCCACACTGAGTTGATGAGGCTGATGTTGTGGCAATGCAAGAAGAAAATATGGAGACAAAAATGGGAAGGTGGGTGAGAAACAAAATTCCATCGACAAGATATAAGAATTTTGTCACTCATATCATTCAAAAAAAAAGTAAAGTTCTTGGAAAATTCATCTGCTCAACAACATGCCTCAGGTACTCTTTATCCTATTACTCACTTTGTAAATTATGAACAATTTTCTACTAGACATCGAAATTTTGTTGCAACTATGACAACATGGAAAGAACATAAAAATGTTAAGAAAGTCGTAAAAGATTATGGTTGGCACGCTGCAATAGCCAACGAGATACGAGCCTTGGAAGAGAATGAGACATGGGTTTGACTGTACATACCTTCTTGGCAGTGGCGACAATTAAAAAGTGGGAAGTACATCAAATGGATGTGCATAACGCATTTCTCCATGGTGACTTGGTTGAGGAGGTGTACATGAAAGTTCCTCAATTTTAAAAATACTGACCCAAATTTGGTTTGCAGGTTGAAAAAGTCGTTCTACAACTTAAAACAAGGTCCTTGTTATTGATTTGCTAAGTTGGCTATGGTATTGAAGCGCTATGGATTTGTTCAATGCTATTCAGATTACTCACGATTAACATTGCACAGAGAAAAAATATATCTCTATGTATTAATTTGTGTGGATGACTTAATTATTACAGGGAATGATATTTCAACCATGATAATTTTTAAAGCTTACTTAGGTGTCTGCTTTCATATGAAGGACTTGGGAGTCTTAAAAAATATTTTTTGAAGCTGGAAGTAGCCCGTAATCCTGGGGATTTATCTTTGCCAACGAAAATATGCATTGGAAATCACTGAAGATACATGTTTATTAGGTGCCAAGCTTGCAGATTTTCCAATGGAACAACACCATAAGCTAGCATTGGCTTCTGGTACACCACTTGAAGATCCGGAACCCTATCGAAGACTTATTGGACAATTAATTTATTTGTCTATGACTTGACCGAATCTTGCTTTGTACAAATTTTGTCTCAATTTATGCAGCAACCTTGTGAAAAACATTGAGAGGCAGCCTTAAGGGTTATTAGTCATTTTAAAGGGATGTGATTGTATTATGATAGTCAATCAGCATTACATAGAGCACAAAATTCAGTATTTTGTGAAAGAACAAAACATATTAAAGTTGATTGTCATTTTGTTCGTAATGTGGTGACAACCTGTATCATTTGTCCCTCATACGTTCCTATCAAAGTACAACTAGCAAACATCTTTACAGAGGCCTTGGAAAAAACACAATTTGAGTTCTTTCTTCGCAAGTTAGGCATTCGATATCTTCGTGCTCCAACAGGGGATATTGAGATTATTGAGATATTATCATTATAGCTATTTATTGATTTGTTCGTTAGTCATATCTTCTATATTAGGAGAATATTTGTAACCGTGACTTGTGATATATATTTATATTGCTGGTCTGATGAATGAAAGACAACATATTTTCTTGCAGTAAATCTTATTAAAATCCTTTGAAATGTCTCTATGGGTTAGGGTTCCATGAGGAATTTGGATATTGTTAATTGATGTGATTTTATGAAATTAATGTTGTATGATGTGTTCTTGTGTATAAATAATTATTTTTGACCGATTGGATTAGAAAATGGACAATTGTATAATTGATTATAAATGTTTAGGGTGTTTTGTTTGTGCTGCATTTTTTGGAAAAATGCGTTGACATCGAACTTAAGTTCTTGGTGTTGGACTTGCATTCATACTGATGAATGCAAAGCCTAGACAAGATCACACCAAACATAAGGCATATCATGTCGTGCGTGATAATATGAAGTGCTTTCTTTGACTCCTTAACGTCGAGCGTGAATTCCTGGTGCTAGATGCGAGAGAGACTTAGTACTCTATGTGGCTCCTTAATACCAGGCAAAATTATAATTTTCATAATATTTTAATTAATAACTACACCTAAACCCTAAACTAAACCATATTTATAATAAACCCTCTTGATCTTTCTATATATAAGAATCGAATTTGATATCAAATTATTTACACCCTAAACTAATCATTCTTAATCATAAATTATTATATGAAATTCACTTAAATTATAAGAATTGATATGAATAAATAAACATTAAATTATTTTAAAATTAATTAATAGTCTTAAATATAAGTCTCAAATCATTTGTTATGTTATTTCAACAAAATTATTTCAACTTAAGATTTAATACATGTTACTCCAATCCCAAACATAATACTTATGGTTAATTAACAAAAATATTCGTTATGTTAAATATGGAAAAAATTTCCTTTGGACTATATTTTGTGTGTGATAAAAAAAAATCACATAAACAAAGAAAACAAAAAATTAAAAGTGACGATTTTGCTTACGCAAGGAAATGCGTGTTCTGGGCTAAGGGCCCTTCAAACCAAAAAAAGGAGAGAAATAGAATAAAGTTAAAAGACGTGATCAAAAAAATGTTGACGACAACTGGCAAGTGGAGATATGCTATTGATGTTTCTTAAGAAGAGTCTCTCGACAAATAAATTTTAAACTGATTTTTCTTTTGGTTTTGCCAAATATATATAATCTTAAAAATTATTTAATAAAATAATATAAATATTATTGATCAATTCAAAATTTTGTGCTTTGCGATCATTTATATAGCACACGGTATTATGTCACTTTTAACTATTTAAGTAAGGTTTTAGATTCAATTATTGTAAATAAAATAGTGATTGAAAGAAAAAAAAATTCCTTTAAACATTAATGAAGTGTTTCACATCGTGTTATATGTTATTCAAACAAAATTATCTTTACTTTTTTATTTATAAAAATTACGATGACAACAAGATAATTTAAACAATGTTACTCCAATCTTTAAAAAAATAATTATGGTCAATAAAAAAAATTCGTCATGTTAAATATGGAAGAATTTTCCTTCGGAATTCGGATCATATTTTGCTTGTGAAAAAAAAAAAATATAATGTGACGATTGTGCTTACGCAAGGAAATGCGTGTTCTGGGCCAAGGGCCTCTTGACAAACCGAAAAAGAGGACGTAATAAAATAAAGGTTGAATATCAATAAATAAATTGACATATGTAATCATTTTAAACAATATTTGGATATGTTTAAATTTTGTACATAAGAAAATGTGATTAAAGAAAAGATTTCGTGAAAAATAATAAATTAAATTTTTTAATAAAAATTAATCATCAAATCAATCACGAATGAAATATTTGGTAGTACCAAATATCATGTTTAAAAAAAGAAAAAGAAAAAAGTTGATAAGACCCATCGCAGACATAAATATTGAAAAGTAAACTAAGATAGTGTGATACAAATGATCCAGAAGCAGCCAAAATGACACATCACCCAAGTGTGAACACCGTGTATAGTGCAGTTAATACGACATTCCATTATTAATGACTTTTTCAACACTTAATTTTTTTTAATGAAGGGTTTCGTTGCTTATATATAGAGACTTCCCTCAACGTCACATACAATACACATAACAACTGAATATCGATTTCCACCGTAAATTTAATACCAATTGCCAATTTTGAAGACACACGAAAATGATTGAGATGCTTCTGAATCTGCAGCTATTAGCTTCTTTCTTTCTCTTATTCAGCCTTCCCCTCGTTTTCTTCTTCTTCTTCTTCTCCAAGTCCACAGATTTGAAAAAGAAAGAAGAAGCTCATACAACCATCACTCCCCCAAAAGTATACCCACTCATTGGCTCCTACTTAGCCTTCAAAGACAACACCAACCGCCGCATCCAGTGGCTATCCGATCTGGTCAAAATCTCACCCGCCGCCACTATCACCCTCCACCGCCCCTTGGGCAGCCGCCAAGTCGTCACCGGCAACCCCGCCACTGTAGAGCACATTCTCAAGAGCCGTTTCTCCAACTACAAAAAGGGAAACACCTTTATTAACACCCTCTCTGATTTCCTCGGCACTGGAATCTTCAACGCCGACGGCGACACGTGGAAGTTTCAGAGGCAAGTGGCCAGCCACGTGTTCAACACAAAGTCTCTTCGCAAGTTCATTGAACAAGTGGTCGACACCGAGCTCTCCGATCGTCTCCTCCCCATCCTCGCTTCAGCGGCAGCAACACAAGACCAAACCCTAGATTTCCAAGACATTCTCCAACGTTTCGCCTTCGACAACATCTGCAAAATCGCGTTCGGCTTCGACGCGGAGTACCTGACGCCGTCAGTTGAACGGAGCAAGTTCGCCGTGGCCTACGAAGAAGCCACGGAGATCAGCAGCAAACGGTTCCGCGAGCCGTTTCCGTTAATTTGGAAAGTGAAGAGGGTGCTTGACGTAGGTTCGGAAAAGCGATTGCGAATGGCAGTGAAGGAAGTGCATGAGTATGCGAAGAACTTAGTGAGAGAAAAGAAAAAGGAGCTGAAGGAGAAGGCCTCGCTTGAATCGGAGGACATGCTTTCGCGGTTCTTGAGTTCGGGGCACTCCGATGAGGACTTCGTGACGGACATAGTTATAAGTTTCATTTTGGCAGGGAAGGACACGACGTCGGCGGCGCTGACGTGGTTTTTCTGGCTGCTAGCTAAGAATCCGCGCGTGGAGAGGGAGCTTGAGAAGGAGATAATGGAGAAATCAGAGGCTCCGGTGTACGATGAAGTGAAACATATGGTTTACACGCACGCGGCGTTGTGCGAGAGCATGAGGTTGTACCCACCGGTGCCGATGGACACGAAGGAAGCAGTGGAGGACGACGTTTTGCCGGATGGGACGGTGGTGAAGAAAGGGACGATGGTGACATATCATGTTTACGCGATGGGGAGAATGGAGAGCATTTGGGGTGATGATTGGGCTGAGTTTAAGCCTGAGAGATGGTTAGAGAAGGATGAAACTGGAAAGTGGAGGTTTGTCGGCAGAGATTCTTTAAATTATAATCTGTTTAAGGAAGGTCCTAGGATGTGTTTGGGGGAGGAAATGGCTTTCATGCAGATGCAGAGGTTGGTGGCTGGGATTATGAGGCGCTTCAGGGTTGTTCCCGCGTTGGCGCCGGGTGTCGACCCTCACTTCATTTCCTTCTTAAGTTCCCAGATGGAAGGTGGTTTCCCCGTCAAGATCCTCCACAGGGAAACTTCACATTCAAACTAAATCTATCTTGTTTAATTAGTCCATGTCATTTACTTTTCTTTCTTCAAGTTGGATGTTAGACTAGAGCGTTGATCTTGTTTGTATGTTTTTTATTAATTATTTGAAGCTTATAATAAATTACGATTAATGTTAGTTAAATTTATATTTCTTAAAGAAGATGGTGAAGAATAGAGGTAAGCAAGGACATGGATATGGATACCGAATTGTGTACTAATACCTTTTAGTGGAATATAATAATATGGCCTATTGGAGTGGGAACATAATTATGATTCTTCTTTGATCGTGTGGAAAGAATCTCTGCCTGGGACAGGAGTTGAACAAATAAATCTTCATCAGTACTTTTATATAGAGATAGAGAGCGAGTTTCAACAAACTTCTCGATCAATATACATAAGAAGAAAATAAAATAACATGAAAAGTAGAAAAATGAATTGATTGTTTGGTGCAAGTTAACATCAGTATGTATCTGTGTCTGGAACCTTTTTAAAATCTTTATTAGCTAACTTCTTCCTAGCCACTTATAGTTTAAAGTGACATTTTTATCTTAAAAAACGTTAGTCATATATGTTTATTAATTAAATAGTTGTAAGATTAAAGCTAATCCAAATTGGACCTAATTTTCTTCTTCAAACTTCAGTTAAGGATTCGTTCTGATTGCTTATAATGACTGTCGTTTAATTTAATCTCCGTGAACCGCATGTTTTACAGTTATCACATTTAAATTAAATGTGTCCTCTTGTTATTCAATAGTTTACGTTGTCTGTCACTATTTCAATTTCTTGTTCTGATATCGAAGTCTTTTTTCATTCTACGTTCTGAAAGACCTCAAATCTCAACCTTGTGTGATAGACTACTAGGCTGATAATTCTATCATTCCTCGAGTTTTGGCATGCACTTATTTGTCCAAGTTAGTGAAGTACTATTCCATATATTTATGGAACCCTTTCATGCAATCACCCTTGACAGATCTGTTTTCATTGCACATGCTGACATGTCAATGAAACTATATCAGTCTAGCACCTTTAAAACAATTATATATAAATTTGTAAATCTTGAATCTGACATCCAAGCGGAGTTGACTAAGGATAAGATGTTAAAACTTAAGTTTTATATACACAAAAAAATTATTTCTTTTTAGTTTTTATAAGACTACTGTAATTTTTGTTTTCTATAATGTTTAATCTACAATTTTGACTCTTTAATTTTTAATTAATGTTTAACAGTATAAATAAATGATAACATATATATCCAAATGCAACATATTATTAAAGTTTAAACAACACTTATAAGGTTTTTTTTTTACATAAAGCATTTTAAATAATATAAATAAATTGCTTGTCTGAACAAAACATGATTGTTTATAGTGGTGTGCATTCCCATGCATTATTAATGCATAGAAATAAATTTCTGTTACCAACATCGTACTTTTGAGGATTATCAACTGCAAATCCAAAATTGTTGCAGCCTGAACTTTTTCCTGACCACACTAACGAACCCATAAAGAACACCTCATAAATCTGTGAATGTCATCTTTTTTTAATTCTCATTTGATAATTGAGACAATAATAAATATAGAGAATTATTTTTTGTAGTAAAAACAGTTGAGATGACATTTTTTTTCCCTTTAGGAAGAGATGAAATTGTTAATACCAAAAAAATAAGTAAAACAAACTCCCACATAAGATTCACAAGACAACCAACAATATAAATTATAATAACCTACTACCTGGAAATAAAAAATAAAAAATAACCAAAAAAAATTAAAAACCGGTACAGCATAAACCTAGAAAATATACCCCACGATAACTATAACTGAACAAAAAGTTTACAGTTTTACACAACTCAACCAAAATTAAATCAAGCCTCTTAATACCCATAATTGGTACCATATATGGAGCCATAATCTGCAGATGGCGCGAGGCCAGTATGACCACCAGTGCTAGAGGGTGGAGATGCATAAACCGGAGCATTGGTTGGATAGGCAGAGTAACCTTGGCTAACTGATCCCCCCATAGGATCCTGTACCAAACTTGCAGCTTCAGCCATGAAATTCTGCATCAGTTAGATTGTGGGCATTTCAGATAAACTAAACCAACAAAAAACACCTTTCCAGCAACTGCTACTTTCAATACCATATTCTGTACCTTCCTAGGATATGCTCTAATTAATTGTATGTTTATGTCAATACTATCATTAAAAGAGGAAAAAATATAGCCAGAAGACATGAAAACAGTAATTTCCGGTGTGTTTGAAATTACTGAGCAGTAAGTACATATAGATGTATAAAAGATTAGAGCAACAAATGATTTCAGCATTTGTATAAATTAATTTTTTATGGCTGTAATTGTGTCCAATAAAGCCAGTTGTCTTTATGGACATGGACTAACCAAAAAAGTTCCTGTCTCTAAATGTTTCGGCCAACAGATACCTCTTGATCATTTTTTCCTTACCAAAATTGGTCAATTTTACTGTCTTAGATCCAAAAATCATCACAATTAAAGAGGATTGTAGCAGCTAGTGCTATTGTATGAAGTGGATGAACTGGCAATCATAGACACCATTGGCACCAGAGAAGTGGGGCTACCGGTTTTAAGGATTAGTATGTTTGACAGGATGAAAATATCCACGTAAAAATGATAATCATTCAATTACTCAATTTTATATCAACAGCTTGGATCACGTGGTGCACCATAGACTTTTAACACTTTGCTAACAACCATACAGGTAGCAAGCAGAATACAAGATGTGCCTTCAACTTTAAAATCAAATACCTGAACCAGCTGCTGGGCTGCCTGTATTTGAGAAGAAGTCCCACTTATCTCAACAGTCATCTCCCCTGGCACACCCCTTGTTTCCTGAATTGTAATACTTGCTCCACTAGCACGACGAATGTAGCTAATATTTGTTCCTGATGTTCCTATAACAGCATCTGCATATGAAAGAGGAATTTGCATGTGCTGTGTAACCTACACATTACAGAGGAAAATATGTGAATTAATGATAAAACAAAATTGAAAGTGAATGATAGTCTCTACAAGCATTCTAAAGTTGGGCAACAGACAACACCTTAGTTGCACCAGATTGTTGTGGTTGTGCATTTGATGAATGAATTCCCATAGAAGCATCTCTTGCATAGGCAGGTGGTGGACCTTGATGAAGGTGCTTGTCCATGGGGGGCAACTCAGCAGGTGGGTAATAACTATCATAATGATGTGAAGGTGGCATGTATTGGTGATTTGGTGCAAAAGCAGGTCCTCCACCGCCGCCACCACCAGGAACAGGAAACCCTTGAGGAGGAGGACCCCAATTTTGATGTGGTGGCACATTCTGGTTAACTCTAACATCTGGCATTTGCATCTGAATTTTGGAAGAAGGAAACAAAAAAAAAAAAGCATTACCTAGTGAATTGTAGGAAAAGAAATTTATAATAAAAACACTAAAAATTTGTTGAAATGCATACAATTTTGAAAGGGAAAAATATCCAAGACAATGGAAAGAAACTAGGGTTGTCAAAATGGGTTGGACCGGCTCATTTGGCCCGACTCGACTTAACCCACCAACTTTAATACTGAATTTTCTAACCCAGCCCGGATCACCACAGGTTGGTGGACTAAACAGACTGACCCACCAACCACCTAATTTTTTTTAAAAAAATTAATTTAAAATAAACCCCAATATAAAATAATCTCTAATCTAAAATAAAAATTGTCAAATTAAATATCATGCATACAACATTAAACTTAATTAAAAAAGTGTACAACTTTAAATAATTAAAACAAAAAAAAATCTTGTCTTTGGAGTACTTGTCTATCAATATTAAACTTCATTGGATGCTTAAATAAATAAATCTATAGCAATTTCGTATTATTTAACATCAACCTTATCTTCCCCTACAAAAAAATAATGGTACCTTGTTTAAATAATACATATATAACAATAAATAGTAAATTGGGTCATTGATAAATTGGATTGATGGGAAGTGTAAGTGGATTAGGTGAAAAGTCAGGTCCACTACGAGTTCAGCCCAGGTGGGCCGGGTCGAAAGTGGGTCAGGTTGAGTTTTTGGACCAATTAGGGATTTTATTTTTTTTGCCCCGAGACCCGCCTCATTTTCAAGGTAGCCCGAGTTAACCCACTTTGACAACTTTAAAAGAAACCTTGAAGCCTTTTCTTAATTAATATCTATAACTTTAAAGAGATAAACTAAAAGAAAAGGGGAGTCTTACCTGTGTTTCAAAAACTCCAACTATGCTGCGGTCAACCAAGAACTTGCGTAAATGAACTGCAATAAGTTCAACTGCCTTGTGAACGCCAGCAGATTCCCCTTGTATTTCAACAACACTATCATCTCGCAAAGCAAATACTGGCAGATTTTCTGTTTAAACAGAAATAATACAAGATTCACTCACAACAAAACTTGGTAACAAAGATTGAATGTAACTCGATACAATATACCTAAAAAGACCCAAATAAAAGATCTCTAGAGAAAATTAATTAAAAGGAATTTTATTGATAATTCATTTCCAACACAAGCAATATACCCTAAAAATAATATACAACAGCTGTGAGCAAACCTGATCCAAGAACACGTATAGTGCAACCAGAGCCATCTTGAATGGCTTTTATGGTGGCACCCTGCTTCCCAATCAAGCTTCCTGCTTGTGTATCTGCCACTAGAAGCCTGGTAACAACTGAACGTCCAGTAGCCAAAGTGCTATCCCCAAGGTCACGGTCTCCATTGATAACTTGCTTATGGACCCTTAACAAACCATCAAGATCATTCGTTAGTTTTTGATCTTGCTCTTCTTTTGCATAAACCATTACCTTTCAAAATCATCAAAGAAAAAGAATTTAAAAATACTAAATAAGAGATGATGAAAACTAAAAAGTATCAAAAACAGATTCATTTTCAAATTTTAAAGCTAAAATTAATTGATCCGTCTCAAATTTTAAAAAACATCCTTGTCATACAAATTGTGGTACTAGCAAACAATAACCATCTCATTTTAATTTCATTTTCAATTCCATGGACTCTGTGAATCTCTGTTTCAGTGGATTAGCAACCAACTCCAATTCTAGGCAGCCACACCCAACTCTGTTTTAAATCCTGGATAGCAGCACATCGCAGCCAGCCAGCCCCAGAAAAGCTATAGCAGTATAGCTGCTATTTTGAAATTTTTTATATAGTCTATATCATGTATATACTATTTATATAAAATCTCAAATTACTCAAAATTAATGATATTCGCAATTAACAATAAAAAGTCATAGGTGTCTTAAATAAAACATACAAGTAAATACTAAATACCAATAAAAGTCAAATACAAGTTTTCATAAATCATTATCTTCTAAATTCAAGATTGCTTTCATTTTTACTATTGTTACAGTTGTGACTTCATTTTTAGAAATTGAAATCTCAAAAGTAGACCACTAGAAAGCCCTAATGTCTTTTCTTAGAGGGCTTTTTCAGAATCAACAAAGAGAGCCGCTGTGGTGATACAGAAGCTATGACAGCCTCTGCAGTGGGCAGAGACTGCTAAACACCACTAAGCTGTTATAGTGGACTATAGTGCTCTATTTAAAACCCTGACCCAACTAATTAGATGGACAGAATAAGATAAACGTCAGATTTACAAATTTTAATGACATTATCTGCTTACTTCATCTAAAAGTTTCTGCAATTTTTTTTTCTTTCTAATTTTTATCATTTTATTGAGCTTAGGAGTTCTTCAAGGAAGTAGTTTCATGAAGTGTGGCAAGACACCAATCGACCTGAGTTCTGAAGTTACCAGGTACAGTGAAAGCCTCTTGCCATCAAAGTCTGCCCAAACTATTTCGGATTGTTAACAGAGACAACGTTTCAGCACTTGTATATGCTCATTGCTGTTTCCCTGCAACTTGACTTTGGCTCTTCAATTTGAAGCCACTTTGGTCATTCATATTTGCTTGACAACCTGCACATATCCATTTGGTTACCGAGACAAAAGACATCTCTTTTTTCTGTATTTTTTTTTAATTTATTCTTTATTTTGTTTTGCTTGATTTTGCATAGTTTTTGTTTCACTCCCTTGACAACTTGTATTTTTTTTTAATAAAATTACTCCACTATAGTATACATAAATATCTTATACATTTTATTATGACACAATTAATTTTCAGATTAATTATATTTTTGTTTGACCAAGTAGAAGTCTTCTACATTGAATCATCAGGTATTAGGTAATTCCCAGAATATATAGCTCTATTAGTTCTAAGTAACCACGATGGAAGTTAAAATAGACCGAATTGTATTCAAAGAACCAAGGAGATCAAATAAATAAGCATGACAAACAGACAATGATATATATCCAATGTCATCCTTACTGCATAAAATAACAGGGAAATTGAAACTCACTGCTCTTTCTGAGATTCCAGGTGGGCCATCAAGAATTTTAATCCGCGCCTTACTCTCTTCTGTAATTTTTTTTATAAACTCGCCCTTTCGACCAATGATACTGCCAACCTTTTGCACTGGAACCAGCATCCTGAAAACATTCTCTCCAGGCCAACCCGGCCACTTTTTTGTTTCATTGCCTTTAGAATCAATCTCGGTTCCCTGTTTCGGCGGAGAATCAAAATTCTCGGTCACATTGTCAGCTCCATGATCTTCCTCAACATGCTCCTGCTGTGGAAAATCCACGTCCCCGGGAAACCCTCCATCGTCATGTTGACGTCCATCAAAATGATTTTCAGCAAAATTGACATCCTCCACCAAATTGACTTCATCATGATCATCGGATAGGAGGTGGGGAAATCCAGAGCTATCAATCACAGTTCCTACATCATGATCATCACAATGATTTTGAGGAAAACCAGGGTCGTCAGGTACGTATCCTATATCATGTCCATCAAAACCTCCCTCGGCCATCTCGGGTATATTTTCTACAAAAAAAAAAAAAAGTCACTCATTTTAACAACTAATCAACTAAACACTAGCAGCATTTTCGACAGAAATTGAAATTCAGCAAAATAAAAAAAACAAAAAATTGCTTTTCGGATTGGACATGAAAACACAATGCTTAGGACTAGGAAAGTCCCAAAGTTTCAAAATTAAGGAAGAAGAAAAATCAAACTGGTGTGCTCATGAATTAGAACATGCAGAATTATATAAAAGCCCTAGATGAACTGGAAACGAGAAGTGATAGTGGAGTAATACGAAAAATTAGGATTGTTGAGAGTAGTGGATTGAACGAACTTACATGATCGGAGAGAGAACAGAGAAGTGACGCAGCAAGATGGATTTGGAGCCGCGCAGAATTTAGGTTTTGTAAGAATGGGATGAGAGGAGGAATAGGATAAAACAGAACGCAAGGTAACAATTTGTATTTATATTAGATTTTTCCATTCCGAGTCACGTGTTGATATTCAAGTTTGGCGCTTTCGTGTTTTTTTTTTTTTTCTCATTTGGGTTTTTAAATAATTTGAAATCCTAATTTATGTGAAAATAAAAAGTAAAATTGAAACATTATTCGTTATTTTAATTGGTAAGGCAGGGGGAAAACTAAAAATAAGACATTCACGAAATTAAAAACATGAATATAAATAATTTCCCTTCGTATAATACTTTTAAATTTTTATTTTTAAAACAGATAACTTTTTTTCATATTTTTTCTTATAATTATGTCAGTGCAATTTTTAAAATGAAAAAATATAAAAGTTTTTATTTTTTAAAATACTTTTCAAACATAATTTTTGTTTATATTAATCATAAATTTAAATGAAAATAATCAAGGTACCTCGTGATGTTAAAAATATGAGTTGATCTTCCAACAATTGCCCTCGGGTTTTGCAATAGTGAAAGAAAGATACCACGCTAAAGTCCAATTGTAAAGAGCATAGTATATCTTCTATTGGTGTGAAATATTTTTGTCTACCTTAACATTGGAGATAGGTTGATTGTTTATATCATACGGTTAAAAGACAAGTTTATTATTTATCAAGGGGTAGTAAAATGGGTTCGTTATGATATGTTAATTCGCCAATTCACTTTAGTAAAGTGGGATAGATTTGTTTGTTTTAATCTATTAATTTACTTTGATTCATCTTGCCTAATCTACTAAAAATTAAGTTAATAACAGGTTAGGTATATTAATCAGCCTATTTTTATTTTAGTAAAATGTTACTTTATTTTATAAGATGTAATTAAAACAGTACTTTAATCTTTTAAATTTATGTTTTGGTATTATAATATATATATATATATATGTATATATATATATATATAATTATATATGTACACATTAACAAAGTGTAAATAGTTTCATTAATTGTTTAATAATTTTTTATTTTATTTATTGTATCTAAATTAATTATTATTCAATAAATTAAGTTAACTTATTTAATTTTAATTAGCCTCATACACACAAACAAAATAAATATTTCAATCAGCAAGTACACGTATGCTTAAAAGAAACGATAAGCATTCCAAAACGAGTTTTGATTATCTTTCTTTTTATTGTTTTTCTTTTCAGAGTTTTGATTTTCATTACAATATATATAGAATAACCTAAAATGTTATGTATTGATAAAAAAAATTATTAAAAAAATTGATGATTTGAATATTAATTAGCTGAACAATTAATGGGACAAATATTTTTTACATCCGCGTGTGACCCAAAGACAAATGGTGAAAACCGTGCATTCACGTGTCGACTAATGAACTAGCCCCAAACAAATAATCATGAAAAAGGGAATTATATATATATTTTTCTTAACACATCTTTAATCTAAACAAAAATTTACTAAAACTTGCAAAATTACTTTTAGAACTTAAAAATAAAAAGTGCAATTGAGATAATTTTATGAGTTTTAATAAATTTTAATTAATAAAATTATATTAAAATATGAGTGTTAAAAAAATGTGTTTTGTATAACTATTAATGTCCAATGACAAAGGGCAGAGGAAGAACTTCATCAAACAACTACAGAATCAAATCTTTGAAAAGACAAAGTCAAAAGATACAAACAATTCTCCTTCATTATAGATCCTGTGGTCTCTGGGTCTTTGATTTATGGGAGATATGCAGGAAGGTAACACTCGAGAAATAACTCAAAGTCTCGTGGGCATCTTCTAGTTATTTTGTTAACTTTTGATATACTTTTATATATCTCTATTCATTAAATTATACAATCCCTCATGCAATGTGAATAAAATTACGATGATTTTCTCCTCTCACGTAGCTCAATCTTCTTCAGATTATGATATCAAACCCAGTTTTACACAGATCATCGTAGCCTCTTCTATTGGGATGATGTTTGTCGTGGTCTTTCATTTTCGTCTGAAACAAATTAGAGATCGAAAGATCATCCCACGTATAAGATTATCACGCGCAGGCCACGTCCCAAAGCTTGAAAGGTTCTCCCATTACGTAGGTAATAATAAATTCTTTTCAATCGCACGTGCACATGGATCCACAGACGATGATAAGTATATAATATTTCTCATATGGAAAAGTTACTAATGCGGCAATATCAATTAAATTGGCTTACATGAAATATGCTTTATGCAAATGGTATGTTTTAATGATCGAAAAAAGTTCCGAACTATTTAGCATTTTTCTTATGCAAAGTTCTATGATTTTCTGCAGCTAGGCAAATGGGGTTCAAAGATAGAAGAAATTGTCCTCATCTATGTAGATTGGCTTCTGAATACATAAGGAAATACGACGGATTTGAGGACGATATATACGCCTTCTTTGAGAACGAACCAGATGCAGATTCACTTTATGTGAAGCTGGTAGAGGAGTTTGAGAGATGCATTCTTAGTTACTTTGGATTCCATTGGAACTATGGTGATATAATTATGAGTCAGGTATTGGGGGGTTTAGTCATTAATTATAGTCATTTAATAATTAACCTAAGATGGCTTGCGTATACAATATTGGATGAAACTATGCTCTTTTGGCTTTGCAGGTGTTGAACTCGGAAAATGAGCCAAAAAAGAAGCTCAAGCACATAGTTATGGCAGCAACTAGGTGTGTATTATGCTATTGTTCTCTAAGAGCACTATTTAACCATCTTTGAAAACGAGACTGGAATCCTGTGTTATAGAACAGGAACAGGTAAAGGATATATGACATGTGTGGGTTTTTGAGTTGGAAGACTCCAAACATGCATTAAAACCGATATTTTTTTTTTTGTTTCCTTTTCAGTTGATATGATACGATTGTAAACTCTAGGTTTAGGAGAATAAATGCCAAAAAGGGATCAAAAACCTCTCTTCTGATGCATTTGTTCAATTTAGTGTGACGAAATTATATAAAAAGTTTATGATACATAATGAAACAACAATAAGACTTTATTTTCCTTCTCTTATAATGGTGCCGCTATGCAAGGGGTTCCATATCTAGAATTATTTGATAGTTAAATGATTTAAATTTCTCAATATTATTCATTGCACAGGGAACAAAGGTTCGAGAGACTTGCGAAGAATCTGAAGGTGGCTAGAGTATTTAATACATTAGTAGAAGAGATGAAAGCAATGGGAATTGCTACAGGTGATGACTCTCAATGTACAGAGGTGATGGCGCCAGTAGCTCATAGCGATAGGAGCCCAGTGCTCCTCCTAATGGGTGGGGGTATGGGAGCTGGCAAGAGCACTGTGCTCAAGGATATTCTCAAAGAGTATGACCTTGTTTGTTTAGTGTTTTCAAAAACAATTTTATGTTTCTTTTTAAAATTTGTTTCCTACCTGATGACGTTTTAGGAAGTGTTTGTAACATTTCTATTTTTTTTAGAAATTAAAGTGTTTGATTGTTCGGTTCAGAAAACATTTTTTAAAACAAAAGTGAGAAGAGAATTGAACCAACTTTAAGTTTTGATATTGAAGATATTTCACTATGTGATTTTCAGTGTACATTCGTATGTTTAATAGGGTAAGCAAGTCCATAAACATGGCTGCATGGTATGCTTACCTAGAGAAAATGATATCTATATTAATAATTTTTTAAAGAGGAAGTTCATTAATGTTATGTTTTCTTGTTTCAACCATACGCTACCTAGCTTTTAATTTAGAGTCTCACTAGAAATAAAAAGCAATAACCTAATGATGTTTCTTTGTAAATAAAATTTGAACAGACCTTTCTGGGCAGGAGCTGCAGGAAATGCCGTAATCATTGAGGCAGATGCATTCAAAGAATCAGATGTCATCTATAAGGCCCTTAGTTCAAGAGGTCACCATGACATGATTCAAACAGCAGAACTGGTTTTGACTCTTTTCAACTCTAGTCTTTACGATATGTGTCATTTAACAAGGGTTTGCTTGATTAAACTCTTTCAAAAACATTTATTTTTAAGAGAAAAAAAATAGAAGAAAAAAAAAGATAAAATAATTTTTTGTATAATTTAAAATTAGTTTATGATAAATTAGTTTGTAAAAGTTTTATTTTATTAATTTTTTAAATTTGTTAACTCAATTATAAATTAGTTTTTATAGATGAAAAAATTTATTTTGATATTCCTTCTAATTTTTTTTCTTAAAAATGCTTCTAAAACAGATCCTTAGATGCTAATGTTTGCGTAGCATTCAATTCCCCTTTTGTTATGCAATACTGAAAGTATTTGTTCCAAACAGGTGCACCAATCATCCACAGATGCGGCCTCATCCCTCCTTGTAACAGCATTAAACGAGGGACGAGATGTTATTATGGATGGTACACTCTCTTGGGTGCCATTTGTTGTGCAGACAATAACAATGGCAAGGAATGTTCACCGTCGCCGTTACCGCATGGGAGCAGGCTATAGGGTGAAGGATGATGGAACTGTAATTGAAAATTATTGGGAAAGAATTGAAGGCGAAGAACCTGAACAAGATGGAGGCAAAAAGAGAAAACCATATAGGATAGAGCTGGTTGGTGTAGTATGTGATGCTTATCTTGCGGTTGTTAGAGGCATAAGGTCATATGCATATTCAACCTTTCCATTTTACGTTCTTTCCAATCACTACGATTCCAATGAAAATTGATTCCATGCACTTACAGATTAATTAACAACTAAACTTGAATGTGAACAGGAGAGCTATCATGTGCAGAAGAGCAGTGAGAGTACAGTCACAGTTGAAATCCCACAGGAGATTTGCTGAGGCATTTATGACTTACTGTCAACTAGTGGATAATGCACGGCTATACTTCACAAACGCATTGGAAGGCCCTGCCAAGGTACACATTTCCCTCCTTATTTTTTTGTATGTGCAAATGTTTGATGAAAGTGATACTCAATAATAAAACTTGAATCACACCGTAGCAATTTATTGTCATGACTCCTGACTAATAGATTAAATACAAGTAATAATAACTTATATTTTTTAATAAGGTTGGTCAATATTTAAATTTTAACATTAGAAATTTACAATAATTTATGCAAATTACTCAATGGACCTAGATTTTTAATTAGTCTGTTGAAACTATCTTGTACCAAAGATTATACGCACTAAATTGAAACTGACGCAGATTAATAAATATTGATTTCAGCGCACGAATAATTTCATTAATATTGTTTTTATGGCTGCTAATTTTGGTGTGCATTCAATATCTACTACTGACCTCATGACTGGGGTAAAGTTGATAGGATGGAAAGATAGAGACAAGACACTGCTTGTTGATCCAGATGAATTCGACTGTTTGAAGAGGCTTGCCAAGTTGAATGAAAATGCAAACTCCATTTATGAACTTTACAAGCATCCCAACCCAGCTTGTGAAGCTGGATCCGTATGGAAAGACATTGTATTATCTCCTTCAAGGTTGAACATCCAACAGGAGCTCAAGTATTCAATCCAAAAAATCGAAAGCGTGAAATATAACTTCACCGTGGAGAACAGATGAAATACTTCAACCTTCGGCTTTCAGTTGAGGATCCTGAGAGGAACAACCTAGAATAGGCAAGGAAAGCAAGTTGCTAAAATTGGTAACCGAGAAGACTTGGTTTTTTTGTAACGTTAATTACTTACATGTATAACCAAACCACATTTATAGTCTTAATCTTACAGGAAATTGAGAACACAGACATTTCCTAAGATGCAGTTAGTATATATCCGAACACAACTTAATATAAAAAAGGGTTAACCAAAAACCCTTTTGAGAGAAAGTCCTTTATACTTGTGAATGAAGATTCTTCCTGCGGTAAATATATCCATCAAATTTTCACAGGCAAACCTAATCCAAACATCGTCAGCCCATTGAACCATTTTGACATTCTTACTCGAGGTTCATTCCTCTAAACTCTCAAGTGAAAGACTACGCATGTCCCTATTTTTAACTTGACAGCATTTTTATTTTATTGTTGCTTTAGCTTTCCCCAGATTACTTGTCTAATTTCCCTTGAAATTATATATATTATTTGGAGAAATAATGGAGAATAGTCGGCTGCGAAACACTGAATGACTGAAATGCTTGTAACATGTATACTATGGTGCCCATTATATATACTGTTGTACCTGCAAAGGTAGAGTTTATCTTCTTTTTTTTTGGGGTAAAGAATAGAGAAATATTAGGAATATATTTTTTAATATATAACTTTTTAACACATCTTTTTAAATTTGTTGAAATTTATGAAAACATAAAAGTTAGTTGATTTTACACCTAATTTAATGATTTTTTATCCTTTTCTATGAATTTAAAAAAATTCTAACCATTATGAAAAATATATTAAAGGAGTGTATTACGTGACCCGCAAAAGAATCACGATTAAGGTCATACTTGTCTTTTGCTTATTGTCTATTGATATAAAAAATTTTAAGTGATATAAAAAATCATAAAATAAAAGTTTAAAATAAATAATATCAATATTAATACGAAGACATGTGTAACTTTCTGATAATACAATATAAATTTTATGTTGATACTAAAATGCAAGTTAAAATTCTAAAGTTTTTTACGATGAAAAAAATAGTTGATTGAATTAAAAACTAAATTTCAAAACTAAAATACTTGTTTTGTGATTTTATCATACACGCGCGCGTATATATATATATATATAATGATGGATGTACGTTCATGTTTGTGGGACAGTTACTTCCACTAACTTTTTAGATTTTTTTTTAATATATGATATTATATTATTTTTATTTAAATTTTAAAAATTAAAATTAAAATTAAAAAAAATTATAAAATTATAGTTGAATTTGAGTCTTGTTATAATTATCTTTTGTGTGAGAAAAAATATTTAAAAAAAATATATTTTAATGTTATAAAAATTAACAACAAATTATATGTTTTAAAAGAAAAAAAAAGTTGTTATGCATTTAAATTGTAAATCAAGATAAAAAAAATTATAAATTAATCATACATGTATTTTAAGTAAAAAAAAAATCATACGTTATTATTAACCTCTTTTTGAATATTTTATATCTTTTTTTATTTTATTTTTACTTTTTCCAATTTTATTCATATTTTGAGATTCTTCTCTACTTCTAACATATTTTAAAGTGTAGAAGAGTGAAATTGGAAGAAGAAGAAAAATTCTTCCATCTCTACTCCTTCATATTTCAATAGTTAAATTATACATTTAAAGTGATCTTTGAGGTTAGTGTATTTAAAATTATTATTTTTATATTACTTTATTTGAATTATTTTTTTTTTCAATGAGAAATTCAGTATTTTAATTTTTATATACTCATTCTATTTTTATGTTTAGAAGAAACATTGTATGTTATGAACATTACATTAATTAAAATTATATTTTCAAGTTGAATTATTTTTTCAAGTGATTGATCAACAACTTCAAGAATTAAACAACTACTTCACATAAGCAAATACTGAGTTGTTTCTTTGTGTAGCATGTTTAAATCCAAGAGATTCATTTTCTGCATTTGACAAGGAGAAGTTGATTCGTTTTGCTCAATTTTATTCTTCTGAATTTTATTCAGTTGAACTTTTGATATTAGATAATCAACTTGAAAATTATTTCATAGATATATGTTTTGACAGTGTTTTTTCAAAATTAGAAGGGATTGGTGATCTTTCTATGAAGCTTGTGGAGACAAGAAAACATGTATATCCATTAGTGTATATCCATTAGTGTATTTGCTTTTAGAGCTAACCTTGATACTATCAGTGGCAATTGCATCCGTTGAAAGAGTTTTTTCTACTATGAATATCATTAAGAATCGAATGTGAAATTATATGAGAGATGAATGATTAAATAATTGTTTAGTTACTTATATATAAAGAGAGGTTTTTTATAGTATTGAAAATGAGCAAATCATTCAATATTTTCAAACTATGAAAACTCAGAGAACAATTATGATATATATTTATTTTTATAAAAAAAAAAATTTATATTTTGAAAAATTTATATCTTTAAATATTACTTCAATTTTCTGGATCCGTCGCTCTATATGTATATATATTAAAGTAGCAAAATATTAAAATCCCAAGTGCCACGGAGAAGGGTTGCATATTAACTTATCAAACAAAAGGGCGTAATGGTAATTCAGGTTGTCAAGCTTGCCCTTCTTTTTCTTCTTTGAAAAATTATAATTAATCATCTATTTTCTTTCTTTTCCATCTTACACTTTGCCTCTGAAATTTATTTTTATTACATCACAAATTATATCTTTTATTTTCCTTTTTTGTCTCTCGTGTATTCACCCCGATCAACATCCATTTAGGGGTGGACTTTAGTCAACCATTTAATTTGTTGGTTTTAATTTGAAATTCCTATCGGTCTTTTTCTTTATGGTACCCACACTCTTTGAAGGATGTCCCATTGTCGTTAGAAGCCCAAAGCCTAGCCGGAGTTTTCAACGTCAGAGTCACTAGTGAGACCCACAAATTCAGAGTCCTAAACCTAAACGTGACGTGGAACCCAAAAACCAAAACAAGTTCAAAGATTTAAGTTTGGGCATGTTCACGCGATCACAACCACATTAATTTTGCAGTTCTCTTTCGCTTTGCTCCTGCTTCCTCCCCCTTTTTTCCCATGCATAGCTTACTCACACACTCCACTTCCCACCATGCCCTTGTTTCATTTACTTTCCATGGATAACGTATTGAGTATTGACAACCTTAATATCATTTGTCTTCACCCTTGACTCTTACTGCGGGGGATTAATAACCATCACGACAAATATGCAACTAAATTTGTTCTTTGTGAATATTCAGCCCAAGCCCAAGCCCGAACCCAAGCATGTGTTTCATATTTTCTAATCTTGCTTGTTTCCTTCAACATGGTTATACGGCTCATTGCCTGATTGGGACCATGTTACCAATTCCCGTGTTCAAAGGCAAACGAGAAGCATTCAATTATTCTGTTTTTACACCCCTTTTTTTTTGTCACTTGTTCATTCAATTTTCAATTATCATAACTAAAAACATGTTCTTCTGAAAGAGGTTTCGATCTTTTGTATTGTTTATTTGAAATATTTTGCAAGTGTTGTATAATTTTTATATGAAAGTGAGAAAATATAAACTGTAATTATATATAGATAATCAAATTTAAAATTATATGAACACTATATATATATATATATATATATGCATGATGAACCGAAACATTTAATTCTAACCAGAAAGAAAAGGTCAAAGAGACTGTAACTTTGCTTTGCTTTAATTTCTAAAATGAGGGACAGTTGTGACTGGGCCCTGTGTTTTGACGCAGACTAAAAGAATGTAGTTTGTGGGCATTTAGTTTGGATCAATAGCTTCAAAATGAAAACAACTGTAATTTCTATAAAATATTTTTCAAAAATATATTTATAAAATGTGCGTTTCAGAGCATATATATATATATATATATATATAT